TCTGTTTGGTGTTTCAGCCAATCAGAGAGAGGTTCTGGATATATCTGAGACCTGTGATATATTGATGAAAAACAGTATAATAGGGGACCTTTAATCCAGTAGTACAGTACGCTGTCAGGGACTATAATGACCGTTGCTAAGGAGGATCAAGAAAGAGAAAGGAAAAGAGGTTAAATGACGGAGCGCTGGACGTCAGATAAATGAGCAGAAGAAGGCAGACAGGAAGTGAACACTAACTGGAACACGGTATGGGCTCTGCAGTGTTTAAGGACGAGTCATAATGAACCCCTTTTTTCATATCGTCAATGCATGCCAAAGTTATAGAAATGACAGAACCTGAACGCAGCATCATGTCCTGTCCTTCAGTTTGAACACAATGAGAATATAACAGACTCATTATCAGATCCAGTCATTAGGCGGATCTGCCTCCAGATGGCCGGCCTGCAGCGAGCCTCTACAGATGGAGGAAGGTCACATTCAGCCTCCTATTTCTCACCAACACTTCCCTTACTTACTCTGCTCCTCTTCACGCCCTCATTTCACTTTAAATAGAAACTGCAGAAACACCTCAGTGGAAGAAACAGCTTTTCAACAGCCGAGGGGAACGATGAATCATATGTTTTTATATCAAATTAACGGAGGAATGTTTTTTCTCTCTTACAGCCGACTTTGGTCTTTCCAAAATCATCGATGATCAGGTGACCATGAAGACGGTCTGTGGCACGCCGGGCTACTGCGGTTAGTTTATCTGTCTACTTTAAAGAGTTCTCTCCTGCTGATGTTCAGGTGTATATCAGTATTGAGTGTCTCTACTTTAAAGAGTCCTCTCCTGCTGATGTTCAGGTGTATATCAGTATATAGTATCTCTACTTTAAAGAGTCCTCTCCTGCTGATGTTCAGGTGTATATCAGTACCCTGGCCAGAATCCAATCTGAAAATGAAACACTATGAAGTCAAAATGATCGCTTGTGAGGAAAAAGTGTTAATATTCAGGAATGGCTTCTTGTTCCTCAGATTGGTGCAGAGAGTCCTTATCTGCTGGTGGCTCACGCCTACACCCGTTACCTGGGCGACCTGTCAGGGGGTCAGGTGCTGGGGAAGATTACCCAGAAGTCCTTGGGACTGAGCAGTAAAGATGGACTGTCGTTCTTCTCGTTCCCCGGAGTCAGCAGCCCTCATCGCTTCAAACAGCTGTTCAGGAGCCGAATGAACAGCATCGAGCTGACGGAGGAGGGGAGGGAGGAGATGCTGAGGGAGGCGAACAACTCCTTCCTGCTCAACATCCAGGTGAGGGGAAGGGTGATGTTCAGGTGTATATTAGTGTGTAGTGTCTCTACTTTAAAGAGTCCTCTCCTGCTGATGTTCAGGTGTATATCAGTATGTAGTGTCTCTACTTTAAAGAGTCCTCTCCTGCTGATGTTCAGGTGTATATCAGTATGTAGTGTCTCTACTTTAAAGAGTCCTCTCCTGCTCATGTTCAGGTGTATATCAGTATGTAGTGTCTCTACTTTAAAGAGTCCTCTCCTGCTGATGTTCAGGTGTATTTCAGTATGTAGTGTCTCTACTTTAAAGAGTCCTCTCCTGCTGATGTTCAGGTGTATATCAGTATGTAGTGTCTCTACTTTAAAGAGTCCTCTCCTGCTGATGTTCAGGTGTATATCAGTATGTAGTGTCTCTACTTTAAAGAGTCCTCTCCTGCTGATGTTCAGGTGTATATCAGTATGTAGTGTCTCTACTTTAAAGAGTCCTCTCCTGCTGATGTTCAGGTGTATATCAGTATGTAGTGTCTCTACTTTAAAGAGTCCTCTCCTGCTGATGTTCAGGTGTATATCAGTATGTAGTGTCTCTACTTTAAAGAGTCCTCTCCTGCTGATGTTCAGGTGTATATCAGTATGTAGTGTCTCTACTTTAAAGAGTCCTCTCCTGCTGATGTTCAGGTGTATATCAGTATGTAGTGTCTCTACATGCCTCCATGCTTTAATGTTCAAAAAGCTCTTTATTTTTCTCATACTGCCTGTGCTGCAGCACCTTTTTTCACCCTCTGTCTGAAACAAGGGCCCAGTCTGCTCTGATTGGTTAGCTGGTCGGCTCTGTTGTGATTGGTCAACCGCCTAGAGATCTCCCGCCCCTTAGCCTATCACGTAGGAGCACTAGCCAATAGAAGTGCGAGAGTTACATATAGATGTCATTATGTTATGGAAGTAAACAAAGGGGTCCAATGGAGGCTGTTCAGACAGGGGGGGGAGTGTGGGAGAGAAACTCTATGGAATTTTAGCCTCTGCAGACCATTAACATTAAAACGATATAACACACTACAGGAAAGGTAAAACCCCACCCAAAAAGGAGTAAAGAGCCCCTTTAATTATGTAGTTCTTAGAAAACATCCACCATCTTGACGAAACATGTGCAGCCCGTTTCTCCTAATGGTAATGTTTCGGGCTGTTGAGGCGCGTTTGCCACCGTAGTTTTGTTTAACAAATCATTTGAATTCATGTTTTAGTTATTACAATTGTAACTAACAGCGTCTCTGTGCGTGCTTTTTGTAAATGTGTTGTTCACCTTACCTCAGGTGACTAAAGAGAGGATAGGTTTAAGATAGACCACTTCTTCCCAATTGCCTTCTGCTAATCTCACACCCCCAGTTTACTTTAACTCGGCCCCAACGATGATAGTCAGAATCAGAATCTGAAAATCTTTATACAGAGGGGAAATGTTCATTGTTAAAGCAAAAGTGAACAGCCAAAAATAGCAAAATATTAATTAAGAGGCATGAATAAAATATTAAAGATAAAAATAGAAATTACACAAATTAAAAATTACAAAAATACACATCAGAAGTACCAGTAACAGTATTTTTTAGTTGAAGTACCGTATCATATCAGCTGGAGATGTGTTCAATGACCTGTGTTGTTGCTTTGATGTCCGACAGCGGCTGCAGCGATGCGTTCACTGTACCCGCTGCTCTGTGGGATTTCACATTACTCTCAGTTGGAGCTTCTGTCGGCCATCTGGCATCTAACGGGCTCTTCTCTCTCTCTACACCCGTAGCTCCGGAGATCCTGCGAGGGAACGCGTACGGCCCCGAGGTGGACATGTGGTCGGTGGGCGTCATCCTCTACATCCTGTGAGTCCGATCACACCACACACATCAGAGACATTAGGATTCATCACTCCGTCTGTCTCAGAACATGGATTTTATTAGTTTATTTATTTTATTAGTCACCTATTATGCAAAATCCACTTGTGTCCCCTCTGTGTATAGAGATTCTGAAAGTTTCAGGAAAAAAGATTCTCTCTCTTTTAGTCCTGATCCATTTCTATAAAAACCTGTCTGAAAATGAGCTGATCAGATTTTGGCCACTTTATTAGGTCATAACGATTTTTTGGCTTGTGTAACCATTAGCCAATCAGCAACCAAGGTAAGGTAGGCTTCGGTCGCTATGGTAACATCACCCATTTTATACCAGAGAAACTTTAATAACAGCGTTGTGATGCCAAACAGCGTCAATTCAGACTGACTCACATTCACTTTTGGGGAATTGGGGATATGTATCAGCTGCTTGTGTGACAGTCGGACAGTGAATGCTTTACAGCCGTGTGAGCACTAACCCGGAGCTAACGGGAGAATAAAGAAGAGCAGCACTGCAGCGGTCGGTACATGCCGCTGAAACACATTAATAAACAATTAACCACGGCACTCTGGAGAAAAGTATACGGTTGGAGAAGTCGTTATTTAATTTAATCTGGCTTCGTATGATTAAAATAACACGATCATCGAGCCGAAGCAGTCCCCCGTTGTTGTTGTTGTTGTTGTTTTGAGCGCCGTTACGCCGTTGGGGAGAAAATCAGCGACGTTCCGAACCAGAAAAGCACTAGTACGGAGCTAAAACGGGAACCTTGTTGGTGTGAAAGCCCTCCTAGAGCACTATTGTGTTCTTTGTAACCAAATCTCTCTCAGAGGGGCGTGGCGAGTGGCTCCTTATTTTCATCTAAAGTAACAGACAGAGAATCAGCACTTTTGAAACAGGGCTGAAACAGAGGGGATTATGGGTAATGCTACAATGATCTGTTTGGTGTTTCAGCCAATCAGAGACAGGTTTTGTATATATCTGATACCTATAATATATTGATGAAAAACAGTATGATAGGGGACCTTTAAGAGGGACAGTGCACATTAATTAACATTACAAATAACCGATGCATCATAATTCTCATTACCATTGAAAAATATGTTAAATTATGTGTTTGGGTTTCACTGTCTGTCTCATAACAGTGATTGTATTGGTTTAATTAAGAGGGACACATTAATTAACATCAAAAAATAACAATTGTGATTGTTTTGGCTGATATTTCAATATCCATATACAGTAATTCACAATATTGCAAGGATTTTCGCATCATAATTCTCATTACTATTGAAAAATATATTCAATTATTAGTGTGTAATTTATTTAAGAGGATCTGTCCCAAACAAAAGTGTTTTTTTAAATGTCTTTCGAATACAATTTGTAGCTTGGAATATCTCTTAATTTTGCAACTATACTCTATATATTTGGCTATAAATGCACCAGAGATATTATATTATCATCTGAATTATCTAGACAGATGTGTTATTGTTCAATAAGAGTATAATAGGGGACCTTTAAGACATGCAACATAGAGACTCACAATACGAAGACATGCTAATTTCCTATTGCCTTCGTTCCCCCCCCTTACTTTGGTGTTCGCGGTCAAAATTGACCGGTCCTGTTATAACTGCTATTACATGAACACAAAAACCATTAATCATCACCAAATTTCATTTAACACCCTTTCAAACTTTAAATATTGTATTGATAAGAAAACAAACATGAAATAGCAGCAATATGGGGACAGCAGTACAGACACAGAGGACAGTCTAATGAATATTTATTTTGCGCTGACAGATCTCAGTACTAATGTGAAACACAGCTTCCTGTTTATCAATTTCCTCAGACATGAACTGGGTGTGTTAATGGAGACTACAAATGGGTTTACTGTCGATAACGACTTAATGTCGGCGTACAGGCGGAAATGTTCTGATCACTCAGTTTTAATGTCACAGAAGCCCAGAGAGTCAGATGAGAAAAAAATGAAATCTGGTTGCTGGATAATCTTTTTTAATTCCTTTTAAAGAAAACTGTAAAAATTGAATAAAGGAACTTTTTGTGTTTTTATTTTTGTAGTACTCGTTTCGGCCACAAGAGGGTAGAGTGCACCACTACCCCATGATAAGAATATTACATGTCAATTCTATAGAGCAACGGTTTCTAACCTTTTTCAACTCGGGGCCCACTTAAGAATCACATTTTTTTTCCCGGCCCACATTCAACCATAAACCATACGGAGGCTAAATAAAGTTCTGATTGGTCGATTCAGAACATGTGACACGTTGTTAATCCAGTAGAACAGACCGCTGTCAAGGACTGTAATGAGCGTTGCTAAGGAGGATCAAGAAAGAGAAAGGAAAAGAGGTTAAAATAACACAAATCATAATGTTTTGCAAAAAGAACAATTATTTGGCGGCCCACTTGCAGTGCCTTCGCGGACCACTAGGGGGCCTCGGCCCACAGGTTGGGAACCGCTGCTATAGAGCTTTGTTAAATACTAGGAGGCACTTTACCAAAAAACAACATTTTAAACAAGCTTACAAACAAACAAGATGCAATAAAATTAATCAGAATAGAAAAATAAACATAATTTAGAGTATAGCAGAAACAAGCAGATCAAAAAACTGAAGATTAGCATTGATTTTTATACATACATTTATACAAACAGAAAGACGTGTCAGCTGAATTTCCCAAAATGCCATTAACTTGTGTTTAAAATGCATGAAAAATTAAAACTTACCCGAAAGAAAACATGAATGCTTTTTAGTATTTAGAGCCTCTTGTGGCCCAAAATGGGTATTACAATAACCAACGCTTTAAAAAAGGTGATCCGGCAAAACATTTTATTCACCTGCTCAAAAGCCATAAACGCAGAAGAGAAAGACTTAGAAAATGGATCAACACATTTATTTCTGACTTGCCATATTATCCGTAAAATGTGGTATAACTGTGACATTTGTAAAGTCATTCAGCGATTGTCTGAGCCACAAGTAACATATTGAAAGCAGTTATATCATGAACTGTACTTCCTGTTCTCCAGACTCTGTGGGTTCGAGCCCTTCTTCGACCCGAGAGGAGATCAGTACATGTACAGCCGAATCCTCAACTGCGACTACGAGTTTGTGTCTCCGTGGTGGGACGACGTGTCCCTCAACGCCAAGGATCTGGTGAGTTCCTCCTCTGGACATTTGCTGACATTTTGCATATTTTTCAGTTCATTTTTTTTGTCTTTTTGGTCATTTTGAGTCTCTTTTAGTGACATTTTGTAATTTAAATCGTTATTGTCACATTACACATGGCAATAACAACAACAACAACAACATTACAATCATGTAACAAAAGGCCAGCAAAGCAATACAAAAATTAAAATAAAATAAAAAGCTAAGGATATGTCTTCATGTTATTATATTCTTGAAGATACCTGTAACTATTGTTCTAGTCAATTGTCTTTGTTTCGAGTTTTGAATAGAGTCCATTTTTCCACTTTCTGTTGAGTTGTATTTCAAGTCAGTTTTTCCATCAACAATATTTCTTCCACAATTGTTACCCATTGGTTTTTCGTTGGGGGTGCTTCACTTGGACCTGGTTTAAATGACCCTGTTTATCTGCCTGCAGGTCAGTAAGCTGATCGTCCTCGACCCTCACAAGCGTCTCAGTGTGCGGGAAGCCCTGCAGCACCCATGGGTGCTCGGAAAAGCCGCCCGCTTCTCTCACATGGACACCGCCCAGAGGAAACTACTGGAGTTTAACGCTCGCCGCAAACTTAAGGTGAGGTCTTGGAAGAAGCGAAAAACAGCAAAGAGTTAAAATCCAACTCTTTACGTACATACTGTCTGTGTGAAGATGAAGTGTGTGTGTTAAATAATTCCTCTTGTTCATTAAGCTTCAACAGTGTTTAGACTTTAAGAAAAGGTAAAGATATTGGCGTAATTTCTTTCAATTGTGGGGTCAGTAATAGCTTTGGTCAAAAAAGTGAGCTTGTCACATTTTCACATTATGGTCGATAATCAGTTATCAATAGGCGCGTTCACACCGCAGTACTTTTCCCACAAAGGTTCATGAGAACTTAGTTCATGAAAACTCTTTAGTTCCCTCTCCAGAATGGAAGTAGTCATCACATACAGAGCATCAACTAGTTCCTGAACAGTGTCCTTCACATGCTGATATCCAAGAGAGGGAGTTCCACAGTCACAAGATGGAGGAATAGAAAGCAGTATTCAATGTTTACTTCAGATTAGCTCCACGTCAGAAATGATCATGCTTGTCATATGTCTCTCTCCATAGAGGCTGAATCATCATGTTAATCACATAGCTATCATATGCCTCAAACAGTCCTGATCAGACATCCTGTCATGTTCACAGCTACAGTTGGGATACCTTTTGTATCATGTTACTCTGATATTGGAAGAGTACGTTCAGTGTTTTACAAACAGTGTATTTCTGTCAACAGGCTGCCATGAAGGCCGTAGTGGCCACCAGTCGGATGCACGAGAGCTCGCGGCGTCGCACCGACAGCTGTGAGATCCCGGGCTCAGGGACGTCGAGGCAGAGCAGCATGCAGCAAGACCCGCCTCCAGAGTCCACAAGCCCCTCCCCCGCTGATGAAGAAGCCCCGCCTCCAGACCAGGACGACGAATCAAAGCCCTCCGACCAAAGTGCCCTCACCCCGTCTCCTCCATGCACCCCAGAGCCCCCCCCCAGCTCTGAAGCCACGACCACGGGCCCCGCCCCAACGCCAACAGGCCCCTCCCCCACACCCACAGGCCCCACCCCTATCAGGCCACCTCTCCGTGTCGATGGTATTCGACAGGCGTCCGTCATCCCCAAAACGATGCTAGTTCAGCCCCGCCTGCAGCAGAAAAGCTTCTCATTGGTCGAGCCCAGTTCCAAGGTTGACGCCACACTGACCACGGCTTCAAGTCCCAGCAGCCTCAGCAACGGCTTCATGCCGGGGGCGGAGCCTGCCAGTAAGACCGCCCCCTGCCAGTGATCACATATCGCTTTTAGAAAAACTTAACTTCATCTTCCTCTTCTCTAAAAACATCTCAAATCACTTAAAGGGACCAAATGAACCTAAAGCTTCGGTTACAAACGGAGCTAACGTTTAACATTAAACTTCCATATCTGCAGCTACGCTAACGTGCTAACAGATACACTTAAGGGTTTGTTGGGTGTTTTCGCAGCCAGGACAGTTGGTCAGTCTTCATTGTTGAGCTGCTGGTTTTTAGTAAAGAGGCTGGACATGATTCAAGGATAGCACTAGTTCCAAGGGACTTACGAGTTACTCAAGCTAGGCAAGAACATTGGCCTTTTAGGTCGTTATATGGAACCTTGGATTGTGGGAGAATATGACAAGAAAATCCCTTTAGGGATATTCTCTGAGGTTAAAGTGGTCAATTAATGAGAATAAACACATTTATGAGAAAACTACATTTGAAAACTATTCTGGATCATACATTTCTGAGCAAAGTGAAGATCCGACTTTGCAAAGTGAAGCCATGTGGATCTTCGACAAAAAAATAAACCATAGTTCCTTAAATTTTTGACTTAAATCTCAGAGAATTTGGAAAAAATGTTCATGCAAATGTAGAGTTTGATCTCAGAGACCATTTTTCTTGGAAATGTGTGCTCTCTTTATTAATTTAAATATTTTAACCTAGCATGTTAATGGGAAACCGACAATAAATCAGTTTGGCCTGTACTTAAATGCCAATTAAAACAACAATTTCTTTGATAGTAAGAAGTTCAGACGTAGTCTAGATGTGGTTAGCCTAGCTTAGCATAAATACTGGAAGCAGTGGAAAACAGCTCAAACACCTACCAACACCTCAGTAGCTCAACCACATATCTTGTTTGTCTCTATAATAAGTGGTAGCGACCTTTCAATCATAAGGCCGCTCCTTTATCGTCTACTTTACTCTAAATGGGACCGTCATTTAAAAAATAAACATCATGCTGTATTAATAAACACTAGAAACTAGCGGTTTGAACCATAAACTCATTAAGAAAATCTTTACTGGGATCATTTAAGTAAGAGGCAAGGTCATTTTCTCATAGGCTCTCATAGACACTTTTCAGAACCAGAAAGGTTGCCCCCTGCTGGTTATTAGAGAGTGTGATTTGAGGTGCTTCCATTAAGGCTTTACTTTTGAGACTTTAAGGCTCTTTGTTTACACAGTCTTAGGTTTGATCCGCACAAAAACAGAAATGTAAAACCAGAGGCACTGGGCGGATGGATACAATGAAGAAATAGTTCTGACTCGTACTTGAAATGGGACAAACAGAGACTTCTTCCTCTTTTGGAAACAGAAGGTGACTTTTTCCTCGAATGCTCAGGACGGAGCTGATTGTATTTTATTATTAAACACATGCCTGCATGGACACGGGTGTGAAGGACGAGGAGAAACAGAGCAGCTTCTGCATCTCTTTGAGTGTCGGGGCAGCTTCAGACAAAGAGACTCTGAGAAAAGTTTGAAGAGACGATCTGCTTTCTTTTTTAAAAGTCCTTTCTACTCTTTACTGGCGATTCCCGCTGGATTTATTCTGCGGCCGAATGAGTAGATAGACCCGGTGTTTATTTCAGTGACGTGTCGTGTTAGTGAGTAAAACGCAGTGTTGTTTACACTTTTATCAGCAGTGGTGATGATGATCTCCTGTTTGCACTGTACATAGTTTGGTTTTAAGATTATATCTGAAAACTTTACCGCCCGACCAGAGACACAATCAGTGTTCAAACCCCCCCCCCCAAAAAAAATATTCAAAATTTGACTTTCGCCATTAAAGGGTATATTTGAACCTGGAAACTATTTGCCCATGTTTTCATGTTTAAATGTATAATGGGGACAGCAATTCTAGATATTAGTCCAGTATTGATCAAGAGTGCTGCAGCCAGGCAATGAAATCCTATCAGGAAATTAATCACCGTCAAATTAAATCCATTTCAAGTTTGTTTTAAACATTTTGGAAATAAATAAATAAAGATTAAATTCTTACATTTAATAATATTTTGGGGTTTCCTGTAGGTTTTTGTGCATGTATATAAATGTTTAAAGCAAAATTGGGATAGACACAATTACAAATAGACCGGGGGGAAAGGGTCTAATTTCTCTGTATGGGTCCTTTCCCTAATGTTGTCAAATATTCTTAGACATCTTGCTCTGGCAGGGGCAAAAACAAGCACTTTTAGTGGAAATTGACGGTGACAGTGATCAATAACATTGCAACCCATTTCGTAGCTTCAGTCTGCAAATTAACAAAAAAAATTCCTCCCAAAGACATAACAACGTGGTGAGATAAGGTCCAAGTTGAAGAACCAAAGTAAACCTTTCAATGAAACCCTTTGGACTACACGTTCTACCTCTCTTTGTACAGGGGCTTCAAAAATAATAATAAAGATAATCAGACTGGAAAGAAATCAATCTTGAACCCACCAGAAACAAAAACACACAAAACTACGGTGGCCAGGACGGACCAAACTGAAGTAAAGGTTCTCTGCCACCAAATAAAATGCTCAATTTGAAAGAAAATCTCTTTAAAGAGGAACCAGCCCTCCCAAAAATGGAGCCCAAAAAGTCCTGGAAACACGTTTTTATTTTGGGTGGAAAAGGACGCAGTTATTGTAATTCCTTATTACATTTTTTAAAATGTATTATGATGTTTATTATAAGATCCCATCATGTGGCTTTTCTCCATGGGTAGGGATTTTAGTTTAATGCAAATTCGCCCTGTAAAAAAACATACCACTTTCCATCTTGTAAATTCAACATCAAGTAAAGCCTTTGTAACATGAAATCTGTGTCAAATATTAACATGATGCTAAAGGTATATACGCTTTTTATTTACTAACACACTTGAGATTTCAATGGAGAAGAAAACTTTATCCTTAAAACTGTTTACATCATCCACTTAAAAAAACACTTAACATGATCTGTAATAATCAATTAGTAGATTTTAGGTCAATTTTATTAAATTTTCCTCCAGGTTTTGTGCACATTTTAAACACTTTTTTAAGACGTTATTGGGCAGAACAGCTCTGTGATTGGTTGTGAGTCAAAGTGGGCGTTTCTTGATCAAAGCTTTGAAGGTCTGACTGATGTGCAGTTTGGTTCCTCTGGTCAAAACGAGTCTTCTGCTGTAATAACTTCTTGCCAAATGAACTCACTGGATAACTATCTGTCATGGTAGAAAGCATGTACTCTGTATATTTGATTTACATATATACTCTTATGTAAAAACATGAATATTTTTGCTTCTCTTTATTCGGAGGGACAGTCCGGGGGCTGGAGGGTTAAACTGTGTTCATTGTTTTGTGTTTGCTGAGTGAACTCGTACCTCTTATTTTATTTTAAAGGATATAAGCTGACAGTGTGACAGCTGTTAACATGTGTATCTCTGCATGTATTATTTACTTTCTGTTGATCATATCAGATTAAAGACTCAGTTTGCCTCCTGCAGGACTCTGACTCTCAGGGGTTTTACATCACATGTACTGTAAAAGATAAATCAGTCTTATTCTTTCTTCTGGAGGAAACACAGAGACATGGACAGATTTCTGTTTACATCCCGGGTGGAGAAGACTCTAAGAGACAGATAAGAATACTAACATACACCAAATGACCAAAAAAAACAACACGAAGAGACATAAAAATCGAACTAATGCTTAAAAACTACAAAGAAATGCACAACAGCAATCCTGAGAGCTGCAAAAACGTAAAAAGACAAAAAATACTTGTCACCACATCTCCATCTAAAGAGGGCACAAAAATAGATTCAGAAATAACTCTAAAAATCAATCTAAGAAACACACAGTACAACAGCAAACAAAAAAAACCTCGTAAAAACAATGTAAAAATATAATAATCAAATAAACAAAAAAGCGCAAAACAGAAACAACATTGAAACGCAAATCAACTCAAAAACATTCAAAACGACCTCAACAAAAAGATTAAAAGATTTGACAGTCTTCAGCTTCAACACGTGCAGAGGCTGAGCCCAGGTGAGTGAGATGTTTTTTTACTTTTACAGGGGTATATTCAAAATATACACGTAAATATATATGTACACGCTCACAGCAAAAGCAGAAGTCATCTCTGTGTCCTTTGATGAACCCACCAACTGTTTAAGAGATTAATATTTGTATTCTTGTATTCATCAATCACGACATACTGCAGTCATTTAAGCGTTACAGTCATCAGCTGGTCCTTCGGTTTACAGCAGGGGTGTCCAAACTTTTTTCACCGAGGGCCACATACAGAAAAATATGCGAAGGGCTGGGCCGCTAGGTATATTGCCTCATAAGTTCTAAGTTAGAAAAATCAATCAAATTTTGGTAAATGATGGTTGATAATATTGATGAAAAAACACAGCTCTCCGTAGGGTTGCATTTATTGTGTTGGAATGTCATTCCTTAAAACAGGAGGCTCAGATATAATGAGAGGAAATATGAAGGGTTTATTTCAAGTTTGTTATGTAAATAAGTCATTGGGCTTTTTTCTTATCAACTAAGATATGTTAGAACATGTTTCCATCTTTAAATGGCTGAATGTATTTAAAGAGTGGACATATTAACACATGAATACTACTGTGTAATATATTTGTACATATAAATTTAAGAAGTACAATATAAGAAAAGCACAAGTTTTATTTGTGGGCCATATTCCATTATACTTTTTGAATTGGCTGAGAGCCGAGTTTGGACACCCCTGGTTTGCAGCTTTGTGTGTGTGTCCGGTCTGGGACTCGACCCGGTGACCTCTGAGTCTCCATCAGTCCTGTGAGCAGCGTTTCTCTGTGTAAACCAGCCCCTCTTGTACCATCCCACAACAGTACGTGGACCAGGACCTCCACTCTGCCGCCGGTACCTCCCACACTGCGGTGACACTGTAAGCCCCGCCCTCCTGTGACATCATCCGTGACACAATGGCGCCTGATGATGTCACTTCTGCGTCGTCGACCCACCACAGGACGTCCTGCCGAGGTGAGTTTAACCCGGTGAGGACGCAGACCAGAAGGTGAGGAGATCCGGGGTCCAGAGAGAAAGGGATGGACGATAACATCTGAACTGATGGAGCAGAACCTGCAGATAGACGTGGAGTAAGATAAGATAAGAAGTACTTTATTGATCCCAATTTGGGACATGTTTGTGTTGGAACAGCATAAAAAAGACATGGCAATGTACAACACAAATTAAGGAGACTAGAAATAAACAAGAAAGTAAAAAATATACATGTTGAATTTACACTTTTGTGGAAGAATTTCAAGATAAAAGGGGGTACATTTGAATCAACTATAGAAAATAATGACAATGGTCGGTGTGACGTCAAAATAAAACAGATTTCTAGGTGGAATAAACATTTGGCTTGTCAAAACTTCAAAAGATCAGGAAAAACATTTGTAATATCATGATTGATTGATTGTTATACAGATGATATGCAGATAAGTCTAGTATTGATGTCTTTCATTGTCTCTATAGCCGTGCTGAAATTGAGCGTATGATTTCCCCACCAGTCAAGAGGAAGTTGGCCTGTTAGTGACAGGAGCTCTATGAACTAAAAACGACCACAAAGAGACGTGAACGTAGTACAAATAGAAGCAAAACGAGCGCATAGAGAAGCGTCATGAGACTTAAGAGACATAAAACACCTTAAAGAGACACAAAATGACTCAAAATGACTCAAAACAAGAAGAAGAAGTAAAACAACTACAACAAGACATGAAATATGATAGAGACAAAAGATGATACACAACAACTACTAAAGAAGCAAAAAGGACACAGAATGACTACAAATAGTGACACAAGTGTATAATCCCATAACTTTCTTTTTACTGATTGTAATCTTTTTGAAATATTTTCATCCTCTCATTTCATCTTTAAAGTTTTGCATCGTACCTGCTGTCTTGTTCTGATGGTGAAGATGAAGCTCGTCTTCATCAGCGTCCACTAGCAGAAGAGTCCCATCACTGAAAACCATCGAGAACGAGACCGACTGTCGGCTGGGTCGAGAGCAAACAATCCAACATCTGCAGGAGGAAACAGATTGTTATTACAACCTCAGGAAACACTGAAACTTAAACTGAAAATTATTATTTATGTTTTTGTCTCACCGCAGGAGGACGATGAAGGTCAATGTTGTGTCCATCCTGAAGTCTCAGCGTTTATAAAGTCCTGGTGAAGGAGAATGACTGTAAAAATAAAAGTTATTGTAGTTGATATATGTTTTAAAATGTTTCTAAAGTCCTTATAATAATGTCAGAGTTCGTAATTCTTAAGATCTTAAGTTTTTATTTTACGTTTTTTGACCCAGGTTTCATAAAGAAGTCCACATGATGGCTTTCCTTAAATAAAAGTCCACATATTGTTGTTTTGAACTTAATTTAAGGTTCCCCAAATGATGTTTCTACTTTATTCTGAAGTCCTAAAGAAAGATATCAGTATGAGTATTTTAACTCCTCATAGAGATGTTTCAACAAAAGGCCATACTATGTTATTTGAATCTTTCAAAACCAGCAATTTTTCATTGTTTTGATGTTAGTTTAATGTCCTCAATAGAAGTTTTAAAGAAAAAGACATACCTTAGTTAATGGTCCTTGTATTCGCTGCTGCAGTCAGTCTGAAGTCTGCAGATCTGCTGTGTGTTAGTGAGACTTTTTTTAACGGGAAAGCATGAAAACTGTTGTTGCAGAACGGCAAACGTCTCCAGGGAGAAGCTGCTCTGGGATCAGACCGTTGGTTCAGTTGGTGAAGGACAGAAAAACAGGACATTTTTCTCACTAATGCTGTTGATCCGAAATTGTTGTTGGTGTCTGAGAAAAACAGGCATAATGTATCAGTAACACTCTGTAGTTCTTCCTGATGTCAAATCATTTTATTATTTAAAATATTCAGCTTTCATTAAATGTCTAATTTTACATGCGAAGAAAACATTTAAAATACTCATTAAGTTGATTGTACTAACTTGATTTTAATTATTTATGTAGATCCCATAATGCCTCATTTACTGTTTTAACATAAACTTTCAGAAAACTTTACATACAAATATAAGTTTTGGATCTTTGAATAGTTGCCTTTTTTAATCTATAATATCACTTTGATGTTGTTGTGTTTTCCAGTTTTAAATTTAGGCAAGGCAAGGCAAGTTTATATAGCACCTTTCAACACAAGGCAATTCAAGATGCTTTACAAAAATGAAAGACATTCAGACAGAAGTTCCACTTTACTGATGAACACAACGGCTCAGTTTCAATTAAAAGCAACGACATAAAGAAAAGTCTTCAGCCTTGATTTAAAAGTAGTCAGAGTTGTAGCGGACCTGCAGGTTTCTGGGAGTTTGTTCCAGATATTTATTATAG